TTGAGCACATATTTATTTTATAATAATAAAAAAAAAAAGCTACTTTGAAAAGTGAATGGAGGAGGCCGGCCCGTGGCTCACTCGGCAGAGTGCGGTGCTGATAACACCAAGGCCACGGGTTCGGATCCTATATAGGGATGGCCGGTTCGCTCACTGGCTGAGCGTGGTGCTGACAACACCAAGCCAAGGGTTGAGATCCCCTTACCGGTCATCTTTAAAAAAAAAAAAAAAAAAGTGAATGGAGGGCTGGCTGTTTAGCTCCGTTGGTTAGAGCACTGCCTTGGAACACCAAGGGTTCAGATCCCCATACTGGCCAGCCACCCCCACCCAAAAAAAAAGTAAATAGATCTAACCAAGATTCTGGAAGCAGGTTATTACAGCATTATTCTCATCACACATCACAGTCTCTTCTTTATAGTTTATAGTCAACCCTATTGTTAATTAACATACCTAGAGGGCTTTGTAAAACATACATTTGACTTAGCCTTCATTCAGTCATTCAACATTTAGGGAGTGTGTAAAATATGCTAGGTGCCTTCCTAGGCCCTAGGGATTTGGAGATAAATAAGGGGAGTCACCTACCTTCAGATAGCTCCCAAACTAGTGGGAGAGACAGATATGAAAAAATAGACTATTATAATATAGTGTGATAAATTATCCACAAAAAGTTACTGTGGGAGCACAGAGGAAAAACATCTTAGCCAGGCTGAAAGATGGATAATGGTAAGAGGGAACCAAGTCACAGAAAAGGTAAAGCTGGAGTCCAAGAAATTATTTACTAAGATTGAATGATTCTTATTGGATGCTGGAATAAGTGGACAACTAAGGGACATTTCTTAATCTTGGAAGGAAATTTTGAAATTCATTCATTCATTCATCCAACAAATTTTTTTTCGTTTTTTGTTTTTTGGCAGTTGGCTGGTAGGGGGATCCGAACAAGTGACCTTGGTGTTATAAGGCTGTGCTCTAACCAATTGAGCTAACCAGCCAGCCCTCAGTAAGTTTTTGTTGAGTGTGAACATGTGCTAGGCACTAGAGATACAACAGTAGCAAAAATAGCCATAGTCCCTACTTTCAAGGGGCTTACATTCTAGTGGGAGAGATAGGTGTTAACCCAATAAACACACAAATAGGGCCGGCCCGGTGGCGCACTGGAGAGTGCGCTGCTTGGGAGCGTGGCGGCGCTCCCGCCGAGGGTTCGGATCCAATGTGGAGACCAGTTCCCGCTCACTGGCTGAGCGCGGTGCGGGCGCAACACCGAGGGTTGCGATCCCATTACCGGTCAGTAAAAAAGACAAAAAGACAAAAAAAAAAAACCACAAATAAATTTAAAATTCTAATTGTGATAAGTGCTACAAAGGAGAAACATATAGTGCTATGAAACCTAATAGGAGAGGAATTACTAGTCAGGGAAGCCAGGGAACACTTTCTTGAGGAAGTAGTTTTAATTGAGATCTGAGGGATAACTAGGTATTACAAAGCAAAGAGGGGCAGAAAGAGTGTATTTAGTAGAGGTTAAAGCTGCACCCAGGCCTTGTGGCAGGAAGGAACATTTTGATTAGGAAGGATTGAAAGAGGGTCAGAGTATGGTATGAAATGTGGCTGAAGTCAAATTAGGAGCCAGACAATGGAGGGTCATATAGGCCAGATTAAGGACTTTATCTACTTCCAAAGAATCCAAAGAGCAAAGATAAGACATTGAAGAGTGTTTATGATCCCCATACATGCCAACCACCAAAACAAAACGAAACAAACAAACAAACAAAAACCAAAAGAGTGTTAACCTGGAGGTGGGGATGTGGATGCCTTGATCAAATTTGCATTCAAAAAGATAACTATTTGCAGAGTACAGAACAGAATAACAAAAGAGGCCAGCGTGGTCCATGTAGAGTGGTGAGTGCAGGTAGTCCATCTAGGAGACCTTCACAAATGGTCCAAGCGATAGGTGACAGAGACTTGGACTAGGGTGGTTGCAAGACCTGAATAGACTCAAGATATTTAGAGGATAAAATCAACAGAACTTGGTAATGGAATATATGTGTGAGTGTGTGTGTGGAGAGGGTATGAGAATAGGGAGAGACAAAGATGATTCCCAGGCTTTCATACGTCTGGAGAGTATTTTTGTTTTGTTTTGTTTGTAGTGCTGAAGACACAGTGATGAATTCAATGTCTTCTGCAGATTCATTTAGCCTAGGTCTGTGGTTTTTTAATTTTCCTCTTTCCTAGCCTGATTGACTCTTAAAAAGTATAGAGGAAGAGCCCAGGTGAAAGAATTTTGAATGTTTATTTCTTTATCTTTAGGTATACTTACATAAGCAGCATACATTTTAAACGTATACTTTGATGAAATTTTACATATGCAAACCAGTATAATCACCACCCAGATCAAGATATAGAAATTTCCCAGAACCTCAGGTCCCCTCCCCAAGGGTAATGACTATTCTGACTTCTATTACTATTGATCAGTTGGTGCCGATTTTTGCACTTCATTAAAAATGGAATTATGTATTTACTAATTATATTTAGAAATTATTGATTTGTGTTTGATTTCTTTCACTCAACATTTTAAGATTCATCCATATAGTATTGATGTGTAGCACTGCTGTGTAATATTCTATTGTGTGAATATATAATTTCTCTTTCCTACTGCTGATTGACATTTGCCTATTTCCATCTGCCTATTTCCATTTGAGGCTACTATGAATAAAGCTGCTATGACCATTCTTGTATATGTCTTTTGGTGGATGTAAACACTCTTTCTATTGGGATAATAACCCAGAAGCAGAAGTGCTGGATCATAGGGTACACACGTTTAGCTTTAGTATGTACTGCCCTAGATTTTTCCAAGTCGGTCATACCAAATTACATGCCCACTAGCAATGTATGGGAATTCTAGTGACTCTACCTCCTCATCAGTATTGTGTACTATCAGTCTTTTAAAAGCAGTTGTGGCTCTTTGTTGCATCCACTGCGAGAATGAAGACCATTCTCAGCAGACTGCTGACGTTTCAGAAAAGGTTGACATCACTCTGAAGGGTCGCTCAGTTATAGTGAAGGGCCCCAGAGGAACCCTACAGTCACATAGTCACATTGATGTAGAGCTAACCCTCCACCAAGGTTAAGGGTTTGGATCCCCATGTTGGCCAGCCGCCGAAAAAAAAAAAAAAGAAGAAAAAGAAAGAAGAGTCTCCCGCTTGACAAAAGATGGGGAAGTAGAAAGGAACTGGCTATTGTTTGCACTATCTGTAGTCATGGACAGAACAAGGTATCTTGGGTGAAAAATACATCTGCAGGGTTCGAATGAGGCCAAGTGTTGCTTGTTCACTCTTTCAAGCCCAGAAAGATGAGTTGATCCTTGAAGTAAGTGACATTGAACTTGTATCAGATTCAGCTGCTTTGATCCAGCAAGCCACAACAGTTAAAAACAAGGATATAAGAAAATTTTTGGATGGCATCTATCTTTCTGAAAAAGGAACAGTTCAGCAGTCTGATAAATAATATCTAAGAGTTGTCCAGCTACAGAAATAAGCTACAGGATGAGTCCCAAGACATACTTTGACATTTTAATGATGCAATAAAAGACCTCTATTGGAAAAAAAAATTGTGAACTTCCAAACTTTCAAATGGGCCTTTATTTCCACAGAAATGGTGAACTCTGCTGTGAGGTGCATTTGGGGATGGCTTCTGGGATGTCAAGACGAAATACACTAACTTCAAGAATGAGCCTGTAGCAGTGCCCAGGCTGCCACTCTGACATGGGCAGGAGACCAGGATCCAAGCCCAGCCTGCTCTGAGCCCAGAGATTCTCAAAGGATTCCAGAGTCTTGCCCAGTGAGCTCCTGGGTCACCCAGAGCATTGTGAGGCAAGACAGAACTAGAACGACAGATTCAAAAAAGAAAGGGGACCTATTCCTGACCCACTCACTCTGCGCATGTGTCTGAAGGGACAGTCCTGACCAAGTAAGATGGGGCTACCTTTCCCAAGGTGGCATTAGGGGTTAGAGGCAGTGCTGACTGGGATGGCAGAGGACCCTGTCTCAATCTGGTCTTTGGTTCAGCTTGGAAAACAAACCCAAATCTCTTTGTAGGCAGAACTTCAGATGGGCCAACAGAGCTCCCTGGAGGTATGAGGCCTGAAGCCTGAAGGGACCAGCAGGTAACTGGGCACCACAGCCTGAGGCCCCAGTCAGTCCCAAGCAAGAGCATCCTGCTTCCTTGAAGCGTTTCTTTGCCTGAGGAAAGTGGAGGCTGGCACTCAAATTCCTTCAGGATCTTCTGAAAATGGAGGCAAGGGTGATCTTGAAGAAGCCCCTTTGTTTGGTTACTAATGCCAGCCCTAACTGGACTGACAAGCCAAAATGGCCCCTCTCTTTTCTGTAGTTCAGAATTTCACTCAACCTGCCTTGATGGAGACGCAACCTGGGCTCTGAGAGAAAGGCAGGCAGATAAATTACAGCGTGAGGCCTGTTCCATAAAGCCCAAAAGACAGTGTGGTTTCGACGGCAGGTCATGGAAATCTAACGGGGGACGAGGTCGTACCGTAAGGGGAAGGTGACCGTGGGACTGTTGCGGTTCGGACAGGAGAAAGGGCCAGGAGAGGGAAGAGGCGGCGGAGGGAGGGGGTAGACGGAGTAGAGAATGGAGCCTGAGAGCTCCCCAAGGGAGGGGTGGGGGCAGCCAGAGGTCCGGGGATTACGGGGATTACGGCCGGCAGGTCTCTGCGATAGGAAAGTCTGGCCATGCTGCCGTGGCTTCGGAGCCGGACTCCACCTTGAGTGGTGGGAGTGGTTTATGCTAACCCCCTAGTACCCAGCCCTTGGCGCCAGGGCACGGTTTGTGATAGGTTTGTGATAGGAAACGTGCGGCGTTGGACTGGAAGTACTATATGCCGGGTAAAGGAGCGTGCTGGGAGGAATTCCTTTCCCCAGCAGGGCTGGTCGCCTCACTTCCGGGAGCCTGCGTATGGGCGGGCTGGGGTTCGAGGTCGGCTACTTGAAGACACAGTCCCTTGGCCCCAGCTCGTCCATCTCCAGCCGCCGCCAAACGACCGTTGGAACCGGGCGGGTAGCGACTCGGTAACAGCCAGGAACTCTTCCCCTAACCCCTAAATCCCGCCCTTCTCGTCCAGGCGGCGTCGCCGTGACGACGTGCTGCAAAGTGCGGCTGCGCAAGGGTGACGGAGCGCGGGCGCAGGGGAGGGAGTGTTTTGGTTCTAGCCGCTCGCCGTCTTTGCCAGACTCGGTTGTCGGGAAGCTTCTCCTTCCTGCTTCCCCTTCCCTTTCCCGGCCCCTATCCTCCCTCCCTCATCCCTTTTATCCCTTTTGTCCGCCTCCCTTTATTTTATTTATTTATTTATTTTACTGCCTCCCCGGGTCTGGGCCATTTCCGGGCCGGGCGCACTAAGGTGCGCGGCCCTGGGGCCCGGTATATGACCCGCTGTCCTGCTACCCCTCGCTTCCCCCGCCCCATGTGGCTGCGGGGCCGCGGTGGCGCTGCCCACTATGGCCCGGAAAGCAGTTAGCAGGAAGCGGAAAGCGCCCGCCTCGCCAGGAGCTGGGAGCGACGCTCAGGACCCGCAGGTGAGGGCTGAGAGGCCGGAACCTGGGTGATGAGGCCGAGGCACCACGAGGAGTTAGGGTCCGCGGATTCGCGAAGAGGAATCTCGGTTTAAGGTTTATTGTCAGGACTGGGTCCTCAGGAATTCACTGGAGAGCAGAAGGCCGGGTGAGGAGCCAAATGGGGAACTCAGAAATAGGGCATATTCCGCGGGAGGCCGGCGGCCAGAAATAGCGCTAGAGGAGAAACCAGAATCTTGGCTTTAGAGGGGGGAGGAAACCGAAATTGAGGGGAATCGGCAGTAAAATCAACCTCCCAGGAGATACTGGGAGAGAGAGTTAAGTCCTCCTTTCGGGGGTCCTGTGGATGCCCAAGCCCTGAGCTGGGCCTTTTGGCACTCGGACCCCTAGACGAAACAGCAATTCTCAGGTATCGTCACCCTATACCACTCCTTTTGAGAGGAGGGCCAGGAAAGCCTTGCATTCGGACTCTGATTTCCGTACCTCCTACCCCGTTGGTGTTTGATTTTTCAAATTCTGCAACTGCCTGGAGCACGGACGTGATGACTGGAATGGCCATTGATAGTGGATCCCTGGAAGACCTGGGCCCCAATCTAGCTACTTGGGCTGCACCTTCCATGCTCCGCGGGGAGTACAGGCTGAGAGGAAGAGGGAGCTGGGTAGAGATGCAGCCCAGTGATTTGGTGTGGTAATCATTCAGCCCCTCATTCCCTTTCCTATCAAGGATAGGTACAGGGGCTCTGAATCCTTCACTCCTAAAACGTCTAGTAAACCTTTTGTGCTGTTCTTTTATGCTTCCGTTTCCTTCTCTTTCAGCCCTCGTAATTCACAGGGGTTGGTTTGAATATAAGCAAAATCTTTTCAGTGTTTTAAGAATTGAACTGTACTTTCTGGATTGAGATTCTTGTTCTGTTGTATGTAAATCCTGCAAGATGAGTTGTTGGTGATTTCTCTAATACGGTAGGATCTCTTTTTCTGAAGAAAGCTTTGATTTCTAATGTTGCTTTCCACAGTTTGCCTGGGATCACTCGCTTCACAAAAGGAAAAGACTCCCCCCAGTGAAGAGATCCTTAGTGTACTACCTGAAGAACCGGGAAGTCAGGCTACAGAGTGAAACCAACTTCTCTCGAGTGTTACATGGTTATGCAGCACAGCAACTTCCCAGTCTCCTGAAGGAAAAAGAGTTTCACCTTGGGACCCTTAATAAAGTGTTTGCATCTCAGTGGTTGAATCATAGGCAAGTGGTGTGTGGTACAAAATGCAACACGGTAAGTATCTGGGGAGATGTGAACTTTCCCCTAGAGCCTGGATATTTGGTTCCATATGTTCTAGAACCTCTTACTGCTGGTTTTCCCTATCAGTTTCTTTTGGGAGGGAATTGCTTTACTCTCCTTTCCATTCACTGGTGTTGATAACTTCTTTTTCTCTTTTTCTGCTCCTTTTCTTGCTTCTACATTTCTTTTTTGATAAGACGTCAAAGGAGTGTATTTCTTTAGGTCCCTTTTCCTCTGAATATGCTGCTTCTAGAGTTTTCTTTGGCCTCATCTTTTTACAGAGGCCTCATGGAGAAGACTTAGGAAATGATGTTTGGAGCATTATTCAGGATACATGAAAACCTAGGTGTTATCTGCCAGTCTAAGCAAATTTGTATTTTTTTTTTTCCTTTTTGTCTTTTTTCGTGACCGGCAACGGATCGCAACCCTCAGTGTCGCGCCCGTACCGAACCGGGACCCGCAACGGGATCGCAACCCTCGGTGTTGAGCCCGCACCTCGCTCAGCCAGTGAGCGGCCGGTCTGTATGTGGGATCCGAACCCTCGGCAGGAGCGCCGCCACGCTCCCAAGTGGCGCACTGTAGCAGTGCGCCACCGGGCCGGCCCCAGCAAATTTGTAGAAATATTTAAAATAACACTTGGCTGAAGATAGGAATAAGGCAAACATTCTTTTTTAGGGAATAGAATCTAAAGATGTGTAAACTGAATATGAAATAGACATGAACCATTCCCTGTAAGGAAGGCAGGGAACATGTGTCTGGTGATACATTTCGGGGTATAAGCATTTGCTCTTTGGAAAGCAGGCTTCTGAAAAGAGATTCAGAAGAGAGAAAAATTAAGTATGACAGTAGTAGGAGAGAATTTTTTTGTTTCATTCTTTGGTGGCTGGCTGGTATAAGGATCTGAACCTGTGACCTGGGGATTATAGGCTACTCTAAGCAACTGAGCTGACTGGCCAGCTAGTAGGAGAGTATTTTTAAAGAGAGTGACTTGAAAGAAAGTTACAAATGAATGAAGGGAAAAACTTAACAGTAAGTTATGAAACAACACAATTGTAGGCAAGGATAAAATAAGTCAAATAGTGGGCAGAATTGGAACAGAAGGGCACAGATAACATGATGTCAAAGGAATGACAAGTGAAAACAGTCAGGGCCTGGAAGTGGGAAATGATTAGGCCCAACCACTCCCTCCTTACCCTGTGTGAAAAGACAAGTAATGTCATAATGGCTGAGTAAATTGACCCTGGACAGAAACACATCTTGTGTCAACTGAAAAAGAGAAAGTTGCTCTAGATCAAGAAAGGCTTAAGTGCTAAGAAAAGTGTCTGTTTATGATGGACATAGGCAAAAATTTAAACAGTTTTAAGGAAGGAAATAATACCGTGGTGGTTGGGGCCAAGCTTTCATTTCCTCTTCTGTAAAAGGTTGCTTGTCTTATACAGAAACCTTTCAAAACTAAATAGTGGTAGCAAGCCTTCACAAAACTTCCTTTTTCTAGTCTGTCAGGCTGCTCACTCATGATTTAAGAGAGCTTCATCCTTGTCACTTGGAGTAGAAAAAGAGCCTCCTGTTTGGAAGAGTTCATTCCATTCTTCACGCATGCATCATAGTGTTTTGCCCAGCAAATATTGCTGATTTGTAAACTGAATTAATTAATCATCATAGTCTTCTGCTTTTTGAATTATTGACACTGTCTTGAAGGTGAGCATGTTAAGTAATAATTTAACCTACTCTTAATACCTACCTCTTCCTATATCCTCATGACCTAAAGTATTTGGGGGTGGGGGGAAGTGTTTTCTTTCTTTTTTTAGTTATTGTTTGTTTCTCTTTACTTAGCTTCCAGAACCAAAGCAGGGAACCGGGAACACTGCTCTCATCTGAACTTTGTGACATTTGGCAAATTATTCCCTTATTTGTGCCTTTGTTTTCACATATGTAAAATGGAAGTGGTAATATCTAGTGCTGAAAAGGTGCCTGTGTGCATCTGGGAAATACTACAAATTAGCTATATCTTACTGGTTTAAAAATACTAGTAGTGATAAAAAAAGAGGCCATAAGTTTTTCCAGTGCTCTTGGCACTTCCCTCAGTTTGAAGAAAGGAGTTAAACAGTTGGAATTGTCCTTGGAAAATATGTGATTTCGGGGGAGTGGGAGTTCATTTGTATTCTCAATAGTAAGTTAAGTTCTGATGTACTGAAACTTTACCATCAATGAAATTATTTATTTATTTATTTATTTATTTTTATTATTTTTTTTTTTAAATTATTTTTTTTGAAAGATGACCGGTAAGGGGATCTTAACCCTTGACTTGGTGTTGTCAGCATATTTTTTTTAAATTATTTTTTTTAAAAGATGACCGGTAAGGGGATCTTAACCCTTGACTTGGTGTTGTCAGCACCACGCTCTCCCGAGTGAGCCACAGGCCGGCCCAGAAATGATTTAAATATTCAATAAGAAAAGTATACCCACAAGCATTCATATTCTAAAACCTGTCAATATGTACCTACTAGTTAGAAGCCGTTTCTCTCTTTCTTGGCCCTCCACGGCCATCAGCATTTGTCTGAGTGTACATAAGTGCTAGAAAGCCAGATCATTTCAAGTTAACTGGCTTGGGACTATAGTATTAAAACGTCTGATGAGGCAGTGGGTCGTCCTATCCTCTGAATGAAAGCAGCAGAGATATTTTGAAAGACCTTTGTAGCTTGATTCAGGAGTGGGAATTTCCCATGCTGTGGGCTAACACTCAAACATAGGGCAGTCATTCGGCCCCCCTGTTGCTTGGGCCCAGTGAGCACAGTGATAACATCAAGGATGGACAACCTGTGTTTTTATCATTAGTAATAATATGGCCATATTTGTACTAAACTATTTAGAGAAGCAGAGGTAATATAACATTAATTAGAACATGGGTCTGGCAGCCAGGATAGGTAGGTATATTTTCCTGGTTTAGGGTTACAAACTCAGATTGCCTACAGAGCCAGACAGAAAAGCTAAATGAAAGGAAGTTCAGCCAGTTGTTGCCATTTGGCATCTGACAAACTTTAAAGAAAGGAAGATGTTTTAGGGGAGGTAGGGGAGTGAGGTGCGAGGAGAAGGGTGGTGATAGGCAGAGTGATGATGTATGCAGTTTGAGGTATTTAATTGTGGATATGAACTCTCATTTCCCATCGTCAGTGCACTCCAGCCAAAGCCTATCAGGGACCAACCCATAGTACAAGTTAAATGTAATTGCTCGTTGCAGCAAGGGAGAACCTATACCAAAGGGAAGCAAGGGGCCTCTCGGTAAGAGGGTGTTAGGACTTACAAGATTGGGCTTTGTATCAGGTGGTTTGGGGGAAGGCTTAAGGAAATAGGGCTTTGCTCTGGATCAAATGCTGTCAGGAAGTGGGGGAAAATTTTGTGTTTGGGTACCTTAATCTTTCCTAGAAAAGAGTTAAAGCTGTAATTGATAAAGATTAAGCAGTTACTCCTTGTAGCCCGGTGTGATCTTTTTGTGGTTTAGACAATGTTTATGTTTTGGTCTATGTTCAGATGTGATTACAGGGTGGTTTTGTTTTTGTCTTGATCTGTCATGGTCACAATGGTCTTATCCGATGCTGATGTTCTGTGAGATTTTATTTTCACCAGGACACCAAGACCTAATATGATCAGGCTAACTCCCAGATGTCAGGGCTGCTTTTTTGTTTTTCACCATCTCCCAAAGTCATGGTCAGAGGTATATAGCTGACTTCACACATGGGCTTAGTGGATCACAGTAAAGAAGACAAACGAGTTTTGGCTTCAGTTTGTTTGGGTTTTTTTGTTTGTTTTGCTTTGCTTTTTGGTGGCTGGCAAGTATGGTAGTTTTGGCTGCAGTTTGCTGCCAAATGAGAGGAAGAACTTTGAGCAGCTTAATTTTGAAGATGGGGTGGAGTGGTAGGCACCAGGGTTGAGAAAATAGTGTAATGTTATGTCCCTGAGTTTACATATTCAGATTCCTGAAATCATAAGAGCAGAATATAAAACTCAATTTGAGACACAAGGAAGCAAAATATGATTAAGGGACGGAGTTTGCTCTGACCAGTTTTTTTATTCAATTCCCCTTGTCTTAGTATTTTATTTTCCCAAAGGGATGACCTTTTAGAAAAATGCTTTAAAATATTTGCAGAGTTCCTTGGGCCCAGCCAGGTATATATCTTTTTATTTTTCCACCTGCTTTGACAGCTTAACAGCATTCTTATCTGAACGGTCCATCTATATTTTGTGGTTAGGTTAGTAACCTGCTAATTAGCAATTTTTTAGAATGGCATATGGTTATTTTCTGTCTAGTGAGAGATATTCAGGCTTATCTCATAATTAGTTTTTGTCTTATTTTGAGAATATTTGACTCTCTTGGGAGGAAGATTTTAGAGGTAGAAGTGCTAGAATTGCCATGTTGGCAAGTTCATTCTACTGGGGCGCATGCGCAGTTGTGTTTCTAGATTAGATAGGAAGAGTGGGAGTAAAAATGAGTTTTGTTTTGTGTGTGTTTTTTTGCTGGCTAGCTAACTGGCCAGTCTAACAGAGTTTTATGCCTCTTACATGGGATGGTACTAGAGTTCTTTTTCTCCTGCCCCTTTCTTGTCTGTTGTTAGGAAAGCTTTGATTGAAATAGAACAGGTGTGGGCCCCAGGAATCCTGTTTAGTGTAGTGCTTTACAAACTTTGGGGTATCCTCCATAGGTGAGGAAATTAGTGGTCAGGAATGTTAGGGCTTGAGGGGCCGGCCCGTGGCTCACTCGGGAGAGTGCGGTGCTGATAACACCAAGGCCACGGGTTCGGATCCCATATAGGGATGGCTGGTTAGCTCACTGGGTGATCTTGGTGCTGATAACACCAAGTCAAGGGTTAAGATCCCCTTACTGGCCAACTTTAAAAAAAAAAAAAAAAAAAGGAATGTTAGGGCTTGAGCAACAATTCTGTGAAGGGATTCAAAAAGACTTTATTGTTGGGCCGGCCCCGTGGCACACTCGGGAGAGT